GCTAGGTTCCTAACCTGGTATTCATTTGAGTTCGGACACTAGAAGCAGGTCTGTGCCTCTTCTTTCGCATTAATAATAGTTCGAATTATTCTCAGATTCCAGCCCTTACCTCCGTTAATCTCTCATGCAGTCTTCGTAATTCTTCCTAAATTATATCTCCTCTGGCTTCCTCGTTTAACTTCTCCCTCTTCTTTAAATCCAGGTAAACTTCCCTTTGGAATAACCTTCCAATATGTATAAGATCATCAGAAAATCAACATGTTTTTAAGGGAAAGCAGCGCCTTTATCTGAATACTGGCTCAATTAAACCCTTATTATCCTTACCCTCCGCGGACAACTTTCTCTATGATACGGAGAAAAACAATCAATGATTTTGGACGCTGTCACCAAATTACCGTATCCGGTCACATTTTCTTCTTGTGTGTGATTTCGATTACTACGGTCTCTCGCCGGAAATTTCGATTTTTTCGGGTTTTCAGTCCATACACCGTGTCTTTCACAAAGCGTAATGTCCTCCCTAGCCAAATTCTCACCGAAGTAATTCTGGGTCATGTTGATGTGCACGCTCCAATCCGCCTCCGTTTCACTTATCGCCGACCATAATCAGGTCCCCGTTCTGGCCCCTGAAATTTCGAGCCCTAACCCTAGGTGTCAATCTCATCCTGGGTCCGTCACCACCCAATATCCCCAGACGCTCATCCCATCCTTGTGACGAATTTGCCCTGCTCCTCCATACCTCCATCGCGTACGATGATTTTGGAGGGATTTAATGTTTTCTTCCAATTTTGGCCCCCAGCAACCTGTTGACGGTCACGGCAGCTTCCTCCGTATTCGCCATCTGCCAGTAGTTTGGTCTGTCATTGGAGAAGTATCGTAATCACATCTTCCCGCGCCTTGATGACCTCCTCAGCCTTTAATGTCTCATTTTCAGTTGGACTTTAGGCGAACTTTTGCCGATCGTGTCGAATCCCTCCTGTCTCGCTACTTTGCTGGCTGCTTCTGCTGCCAGCCCAAATATATTAAGATCGTATTATCATCGAAGAGTCTCACCCGGTTAGGAATTTCTGCCCCGCGAGGACCGTTTCGAACCCTTCTGTGCTCTCTCCTACATGACGGCCCTGTCCGACCCGCATATTTATCCTCCCATGAGTGACAATTTCTTCCTCTTAAAAACTAATCAAATCACATTCATTTTGTCTCCAACAAAAAATGAAGGGAATGTTTCCCTTGTTTACTAACCACGGTTTGTAACGGACTGCACACTTTATAAGCATGAACTGAACTCTGTACAGTGCCTTCTGATCAAAGATTCACTCAAAAACTTATATTTACTTACCATGGAAATATCCTTAAGGATTGTTGCTTTTTAATTTCCAAAGCAATTAACTGCAGATTTGGAGTATATCAGTATATTCTAGGTCTATAGGCTCAGACCGAAATTATACTGTATGAATATTTCGTCCAAAGTCCATCAGTCACAGCGAGTAACCGTTTAACTACCGACAGGCCGCTAATAGTATGTTTTTGAGCAAGGGAATACCATACTAACAGCTAGTACCTGTGCTGTTTTTATGGTGTATCCTTTCCCTTAACGATGCTAAATAAAAGCTATGGGTATTCTAGGTGCGATTAGAAGATCCTTCCTCAATTTTGACAAAGAACTTTTTGGCCGAGTATTTGGCGCATACGTTCGACCAATGTTGGAATATGGTGTCCAGGCATGGTGTCCCTGGACGAAAAAAGATTACACCCTGCTGGAGAACTTACAACGAAGAGCGACCAAGCTAGTCGGCGGATTAAGTGGCTTACCTTATGAGAGACGGCTGGAGAAGCTAAAAATATTTCCTCTCTCTTATAAACAGTACAGAGGGGATATGATCATGGCCTTCAGGATCGTCCGAGGGCTAGACTGTGCTCTTCAGTTTGACGATTTCTTCGAACTGGCGCGGAAGACAAATCTCCGAGGACACCAATACAAATTGAAGACGAAATATGCCAAAATCGATTTGCGGGTCAAATTCTTCTCCCACCGGCTGGTTGATGGATGGGACAAATTGCCGAACTCCGTTGTCTTAGCGGAAAACGTCGAGACTTTCAAAAGAAGACTAGATAAATTTATGCTTGATGGTCAAACAATTACATGATATCCATGACTGGCATAACTGCTCTGTAAATATCTGCATGTTTTTTTCATACGTCTATTTGTAAATAGGGTTTTCAAAGGCTCTGCCTCTATCCCTCATATATACTGAATTATATACTGAAGTTATGTAGACCATCGACCATCTCCGTTGCTCTGCCTTGCATCTGTTCGAGAAGATCAGTATCCTTCTTCAGCCATGGTGTAATTGCCGGCGCTCCATATACGCGGTGGGTTTTATTGAGGTGGCCGAAAATTCTCCCAAAGAGTTCAGGAGGAAATATTTTAGATGTTTTAGAAATATTTTTATTTAAAGGGCGTTCGTAACCTTTGACGAAGATCTTTTTGGGAGAATTTACGACACCTTCGTTCGGCCCCGCTAAGAATATGGCCTACAAGCATGGCGACCACGGCTATTAAAGGACCAAGCATGCCTCGAACGAGTACAACGTCGTGCAACAAAGTTGGTGAACGGTCTAAAAAGCCAATCCTACACAGGCAGACTGAACTGCCTTAATTTATCCCCTCTGTGTTACAGGCAGCAAAGAGGTGATCTTATCCTAGTCTACAAGATAATACATTGCCTTGAGCATGGACTTAGCTTTTAGGACATGTTTCAGTGGCACCTTTCACCCAATCTTCGTGGTCACTCGATGAAGTTAAGGAAAACAATGTCCAGGCTGAATTTTCGTTCTGAATTTTTCACGCAGAGAGTAGTGGAGAAATGGAACGATCTCCTTCAGTCAGTCGTGGAGGCTACGTCTCTGAAACTCTTCAAGAAACGCTTGGATGATTATTTGTGTCCCCCGTTTTCCCTCGACAGTGTGAATCTTAACTAATACCCCACGACCCCGCAAATTTTTTTACCTGAGACAATGCTACTCAAATGAATCAAGTACGGTTTAATAGCGAATTTTTCTATCGTTCGTGAACAGTTATTTCTAACGAGCTGACATGTAAGCAATTGGGTTTTCAAAGAAATAAACACGTCTAGCCCAATGCAACGTACAAGTTGCCCTCTGGGTCATCTCCTTACAGTGTTCCGACGGCATTACATTTTGGTCATCTACGTGCCTAGACCTCTAAGCTTTTTTATATCTGCTATTTCAGCCCCGTTGACATAATACTTATGTTTTAAATAAATGTTTCGTCCGATGTTCAGGTGTAGGGCCATGCATTTGGATATACTAAATGGTAAAAGCCATCTATGCGACCAATAACTCAGTATGTTGATGCTTGATTGAAATTTCTCCCCGACATAAACACGGCTGACTTCTTCCCATATCTTATTGTCCGTCGCGAACACGAGAGCCTCTTAATCTAATTCGCCGGCGCAATAATTGGCATAGATCAGGAAGAGTATTGGACCTAAAACAGATGCTGTGAGACATCGCTTTCCTCTTTATCCCGTTTCGGGGTAGAATTACCAGCAACGACTACTTGCACTCTGGAGTACAGGAAACCCTCAATCCATTTAAACACTTTCCTCGAATTCCTATGTCCCAAATACCCTGCAAAAGAAACCTGCATGTTAATCCAGGAAACCATCCTCGTAACCCTCAAAAAGATTTCCTGTTAGACTACTCTCCAGTTGTACGCCTAAAATGCCAGAAACACGTTTCGAAAATAAAATCGAGATTGAAGGGTGACGAACACAGGCTGGCTATCTTCAATGGGAAGATGGTTCGGGAGAATACAACGTTTCAATTAAATCAACTGTAGGTGTTAGTGGCGACGACAGCTGTTAATATAGCGGAGACACTATTATTATTATTATTATTGTGGAGCCAGCCACTGGTTCCTTGTACCTCGATGTGCTCACCGGCACTCATCCACTGGAGCGATTAGATAAATTATCTAGTCTACCTAGTGTCAAGACTATAGGCAATTTCAAAGTACAGGGAATTGAACTGGAGCAACGTCCGTGCAGCGTGCATAAAACCGGCCTTCAGACTGCCGTTTTCTTCATAAAACACTGATGGCGCTCCCCACAATCTGTTAACCTTCTATACAGAATACGCTGAGGGCAACGAATTAACAGACTAGGTGTAGTTTTCACAATTACGTTCGACAGCATCAACGAAGTTATCTCCTTGCCCTGCTCTGTCGAAGTGTCCATACAGTGCTTATAATCCAGTATATATATATATATATATATATATATATATATTGCTAATAGAAGCGAAGATTCGAGTCCCCGGACATAAATGAGAAGAAGAGGCGATCTCGGGAACCATGATTGTATTGTCCTGACGTTTCAAAAGCAGACAAGCTTTCA